TCCCCTTTTTCTCCTCCCCTCTTCCTCTCTTTCTCTCCCTTCCTCTTCTCCCTCCCCCCCCCTCTCCTCCCCCTCCCTCCTCCTTTCCTTTCCTCCTTTCCCCCTTCCCCTTCTTCTTCCTCTTTTTTTTCCCCTCCGTCTCCCTCTCCCTTCCCCCCTCTTCTTCCCCCCCCCCCCCCTCTCCCCCTTCTTCCTTTTCCCTTCTCCCCCCTTCCCCCCCTTCCCTCCCCCCCCCTCCCCCCTCTCTTCCCCCCCTGCCCCCCCTCCCTTCTTCCCCCTCCCCCCCCCCCCCCTCCCCCTCCCCCCCTCTCCTTCCCCTCCCTTTCTCTTCCCTCCTCCTCCCCCCCCCTCCCCCCTTCCCCCCCCTTCCTCTCTTTCCCTCCCCTCTTCTCTTCCCCCCCCCCTTCCCCCCCCCCCCTCCCTCCCCTCCCCCTCTTCCCCCCCTCTTCTCTTCTCCTCCTCCCCCCCTTCCCCCCCCTCCTCTTTTCCTTCTCCTCCTCCTCTCTCTCCTTCCCCCCCTCTTCCCCTTCCTTCTTCCTCTTCTTTCTTCCCCTCCTTCCCCTTTTCTCCCTTCTCCCCCCTCTTCTTTCTCCCTTTCCTCTTCTCTTCTCCCCTCCCCTCCCCTTCTTCCCCCCCCCTTTTCCTCCTTCCCTTCCCCTCCTCTTCTTTCCCTCTCCTCCTTTCCCTTCCTTCCCTCTTTTCCCTTCTCCCCTTCCTCTTCTTCCTCCCTCTCCTTCCTTTCTTTCCTCCTCCTTCTTCTTTCCCTCTCCTCCCCCCTCCTCTTCTTCCCCCCCCTCTCTTCCTCCCCCTCCTCCCCCCCTTTCCCTCCCCCCCTTTTCCTTTCCTTCCTTCCTCTTCCCCCCCCCTTTTTTCTCTCCTCTTCCCTTCCCCTCCTTCTCTCCCCCCTTCCCTCCTCCCTCTTCTTCCTTTCCTTTTCTCTCCCCCTCTCCCCTCCCCTCCTTCCCTTTCTCCTCTTACTCTTCTTCTGCCTCCTCTTCTTCAGTGCTCTAGGTGGCAGCACTTATCACCACACTGACATGAATGGAGTGTCAATATGAGATGCTGCAAAGAAAGGTGAAGTACAATAGAGGGCCATCCACACTATAGCGGGGAGCAGGGGCGGACTGACAACTCATGGGGCCCCGGGCAATAGGGAATCATGGGGCCCCTGTGTCCTTGCCCACACTCAAAAAAGCCTATGAAAAAGGTACCAGGGGCATCTCATGGGGCCCCCTACTGACCCCGGGACCTCAGGCAGTGCCTGAGTTTCCAAATGGTCAGTCCGCCCCTGGCGGGGAGCTGACATTTTCTGCAGAATCAAGATACAACTCTCTGCAGGGGCACACAGAAAACACTGCTCTTCTATGTGTCCCGTTCTCACTTCCCCCGCAGGTGACGCTGCGGAAACCTGCAACACTGCTGCAAATTTACACAATGCTCCTCGGGTCCCTGTGGGGGGGATTCACTAAAACTAGCATGTGCACAGTGTGGTACAGCTCTGCATAGAAACCAATCAGTCTCCGAATTTTTATGTCAAAGCTTCATTGAACAAGCTGAAGCTCGAAGCTGATTGGCTCCCATGCACAGCTGCCCCAGATTCTGAGCGCACTCTGTGTTCCCCTGCGTTTATATGTGCGGTTGTTCATACAAATGAATGAATGGAATGTCACTTTGTGACGTTCCATTAAAGTTAAAAAAAAAAAAAAAAGGAAACCATGCTGTACAATGTGTTTTTCTCTGCGGCTTGTGTGAACCTACCCTAAGGGGCTGATTCACACTATAGAAACGCAGTCCAAATGCGTTTCGGAAGCGATTCCACATGCACGTTTTTGATGCGTTCCAGTGCGTTTTTTATGCATTCCAGTTAATTTTTTTTTCCCCTTACTTTTTCTCCAATTCAAATAGAGACGTGCATGCCGGAGCGGTTTTTATGCGTTTTACCGCGTTCCAGTACCGTTCTGTGCAGAAAAAATGCAGCTTGTTCTACTTTTTTTTTTCTGCACCCGATTCACACTATAGAAACGCAGTCCAGATGCGATCCAGATGTGTTTTTGCATGCGTGTTTTTGACACGTTCCAGTGCGTTTTTTTATGCATTCCAGTTCCTTTTTACCCCATTACTTTTTCTTCAATTTAAATAGGGACATGTGCATTCCGGAGCGTTTTTCATGCGTTTTACTGCGTTCCATTATAGTTCTGTGCAGAAAAAATGCAGCCTGTTCTACTACTTTTTTTTCCTGCACCCGATTCACACTATAGAAACGCAGTCCAGATGCGTTTCGGATGCGATTCCGCATGCATGTTTTTGATGCGTTCCAGTGCAATTTTTATGCATTCCAGTTAATTTTTCCCCCTTACTTTTTCTTCAATTTAAATAGAGACGTGCATTCCGGTACGTTTTTTAACCGTTTTACCGCGTTCCAGTACAGTTCTGTGCAGAAAAAATGCAGCTTGTTCTACTTTTTATTCTGCACCTGATTCACACTATAGAAATGCAGTCCAGATGCATTCTGGATACACTTTTGCATACACGTTTTTGACGCGTTCCAGTTAATTTTTTCCCCCTTACTTTTTCTTCAATTTAAATAGGGACAAGTGCATTCTGGTGCATGTTTTATGAGTTTTACCACGTTCCAGTACACTTCTGTGCAGGAAAAATGCAGCCTGTTCTACTTTTTTTCTGCACCCGGAGCGCACTGGAACTGCAAGCACTGATGTGAACTATGACATTGACAACCATATAACCAACTTTCTATGTGTGTTGGATGCAGAAAAAACGCAGCTGAAACATGTTTATGAGCGTTTGTGTTTAGAAGCGTTTTTTAAAGATATCCTCAGGAAACCTTCCCAAATGCCCAGAATGCACTGAAAAACAGTAAAAAATTAACTACTTCAGACTTTTTGAGAGAAATAGAGAGAGCAGAAGCAGAGAGAGCAGTATGTGTTGAGATTAGCTGTCTTTTTTCTTTTTCTTTCTTTCCTTTCCTTTCCTTTCTTTCTTTCTTTCTTTCTTTCTTGATGTGTTCCAGCTTATTTCTGTGCAGACATTATTGCAGCAGTCTAACATATTTTCTTTCATACGAAGCCTCAAAGTACAGTGTACCGGGTCCATTTGAATACATAGAAAATGCTTTGCATGCATTTTTCATGATGAAAAAAGGCTCTGGACAGCATCTGGAAATGGAAGAGTTAAAAAATCTTTCCAAACGCTTATAAACGCGGATAGCCACGTTTACAAGCGTTTGGCGTTTGAAACGCTGATAAAATCTACTCCTGAACGCAAGTTTGGTGCGTTCAAAAAAACTGCCTGTAAAGGAAGATGTGTACATGGACACATAGGAAAACATTAGGGAGAGTTCAGGGGCTGCTGAAAAAAACACAGAAAAGCTCCTGAATGTCAGTTTCTCAGCTGCAGTGTAAATGAGCCTTAGGGTTCTATTTATAAAACATTTGTTGCACGAATGTCAGAAACATTTTTGCAAGCTTTTACCATGTTTTCAATTTGATTGACTTCTGTAATCATCGGCTCCATCTAATATCCAAAATTCAGTCTAGTTTTCTGAATGATTTCAGTGAGAAAATATACTGCATTTTCCACACTAGATGGCGCTGATAACACAGTGAAATATAGTTCACTCTCAAGAAATCAAATGAGGATTCCCCCCCTTTCCTGGCCTGTCCATATTTTGCGATATGGCGTTGTGTTACTTTAACCTCCCTGGCGGTATTCCCGAGTGTAGCTCGGGGTAAAGTTTCAGCACCACAAGTGGTAACCCCGAGCTACACTCGGGAATACACTGCTCCGCGATCTCTTCTTCTCTTACCTTGTCCTGCGCTCCCGCGATGTCCCTCCTGTAGTGTCCCCGGCAATGTCCTCCGGCCGATGCCGGCATCTGTCTTCTGGGTTCCGTTCCCTGCGACGTCGGGACGTACGGGGGACGGAACGGCGGGAAATTTGAAAATGTCAAAAAGTGACATTCACTCAATACACTAAAATCTCATAGTATAACATTCCTGTATCAAACCATTTCACATACATGTTGTCCCGAGTGCTTTGTCCGGCGCCCTGCCTGCATTTTTACTGTTCTTTCTGCCTGGAAACTGAGAAACGTCCATGGCGTCCAAAAATCTTCCCTTTAGGTCAAAAGTGGTTTTAGACCGGCTAGAGAACAGCGATAGTAAATCAGAACCACTTGCAGAATTGAGTGATAATGATTCGTGGGGGAAATTCGTCATCAGACACTGAAAACGATTCTGCGACTTTGCTCAGTGATGTGCGAACTTGGCGCTCTATTTCAAATTTCAGTGTTTTTGGTTTGATTACATTATTGAATTAAATTTATTATTATTTTTATTTTTTATGATTATTTATTATATTATAATTTATGATTTCATGTTTCAAATTTTATCCTACCCGGGATGTTTACTGGACTCTTGTTCAGACAGATTTCAGTGAGTTATTCCTAAAAATGACAGGCCTACAATTAAAAAAAAACTACATATTTCCATGCAAAAAAATTTACCGCTTTGAGCACAAATATGGACATAATCAGACCGCTAGGGAGGTTAACTGACAATTGCGCGGTCATGCAACGCTGGACATAAATGATATTTATGTCCTGTTTTCCCCACAAACAAACACCCAGATCTGGCGAGAACGTTCTCCTGCAAAGTATGGAATGGCCTCTAATGAGATTTGGATCTTCAGCTACTGTTCTTTTTCAAATTAATCCATTTTTATGAATATTTTCATATTCGTAAGATACAGAGAAGAAAAGAAAAAACTAAATTACAATCGTAAATATTTTCATGTACAGAAAATAAATCAAGAATATCCAGACTTTTATATTTATTTAAAAAACTCCTGCCCCTAACTCCTTTACTGCATAGTCACGTGCTGGAGTTTTCTGGAAAGCCTTGTATAACATCCGTGTCTCCGTGTTCCTCAGGAGGACCTTGTCCTTTTACTTTCTTTGTCTTTCAGGCAGTATTTGTTCAGCAATGGAGCCAGGCAACATTGAGAACCTATGCATTCTGTACCAGAGCCTGGACTTTCTGGTGGTGAACAAGCACTGGGACATTCGCATAGACAGCAAGATGTGGTATGAGAAAGTGACAGTACAGAGCCAGCTGAAGCACCGATTCCCCGAGCTGGCTGATCCAGACACCTACTATGGGTTCAGGTTGGTGGTGACCATAAGCACCTGGGTTGATGGTCTTTGGGCGTGTGTCAATGGCGTCATTTTCAGATGGTTCTGGCCTTTAAGCCTCCCTCACATTCATGTTGACCCATCCCTACAGTGTGCTGCCTCACCTTCCAATAGACAGCAAGGGTTAGCCAAGCTGAGGCACTTGTTATATATCAATTAAATGGGGGTGGATACCTGCGCTGCCAAATATCCTCACAAGGGATGAAGTAGCTGCTAACACCCGAAGGAAACGAGCTGAAAAAAATATTTTGAACAAATGGTGTAGCGCTGTAAATACTAAAATACCATATTGTCAAATCATAATATAAAGAATATTAAAGTGAAAGAATATTAATAAACCTCGTGTATCCTTATTACCTTCATTAAAGGTGAAATATATTCCAAAGCAAATATAAAATCAAAGTGACCAATTATAAAACTGTTACATGTATCAATCAATATAAATAAATAAATAAAGTCCCAAGAAGTGAAGAAATTAGTCCCAATAAGTGAAAAAAAAAATTATAGCACAAAAAAATATATAGTATAAAAATCCAGATTTTTCAATTCTTCAACTTTTATATTCACACTTTTTGTTGCGCGCTCATATTTATGGTGCCAATTATATCCATCACCTTCTAGTGTGTGTGCGCTCACCTCAAAAATTCGACCCTCAAAGAGTCAAAGAGCAATCAATATCCCCGGATGATCCCTGGTTGGATGGATCTCTCCCTTTATGTGGACACAGGAACAGCTCCCACCGAAATCATATAAACGATCAAACACATCTTTAGGGGGTCTTTAAATGGCTGAAAAAGAAGTCAAAGATAGAACTTCCATAGTGTAGTAATTATTTATTTAAAAAATTCAAAAACAGCCAAATGGCTACTCACATAAAAACAAGGGTCACAGACCCAGCAGGCATGTACTGTGTAACCCACAGTCAGGTGTACATACAAGGAGTCCCAAGATAGCGATTACCGTCCAAACGTAATGACATCATCATGCTCTATTCCTATTAGTTACATCACGCTAACATATGACTTTTTATATATCGACACACGTATCGGCATGAGAGTAATAATTCCATAGCCGTCATTCACCAGTAACTCTAAACTGATGACCTGTAAAGGCTTTTAAAGTGCTGCCTATGGATATTTTTTTGACTGACATTTTTCACTGTTTAACGCGCATTTTAAAAGTATAACTAAAGGCAAAACGAGTGGACGGGGGCACTTTAAACTTTTTTTAAAAAATGTATTTAATGTTTTGTTTTTTTTTTTGCACTGTTCCTTTAAAAAAAATTTGAATCACTTTTATTCTTATCACAAGAAATGCATGCATCCCTTGTGATAGAAATAATTAGTGACAGGTTCTCTTTATGGAGAGATGTGGGGTCAATAAGACCCCACATCTCTCCTCTGCACTGTAAAGCATTGGATCAAAAAAAAAGCATTGATCTAGTGCTTTAAAAAAAAAAAAAAAAAAAAAAAATGGCCGGAACGGGAAGTGACATTACTCCAATCCTCCAAGGGCATAGAGATGTATGGCGGCCATCTTTCCTTCACTCATCTCTATGCCCATCGTTGGGATTGATGGTTTCTCAGATAAGGCTGAACTACCGAGCAGCGGCCGGGGGGCAACGGTGGGTGGGCGGCAGTGAGGGGTGGAGCTTTTTCAGCACCTGTATCGGTGCTTTTTTTTTTCTTTTCAGCCAAAAGGGGTGTTTTCGGCTGAAACATTTTGGTGCATCCCTACTTTTTATTAGCACTGATCACTGTATTACTGTCATTGGGATGTCAGTGGCAGGCAGTTAGTTCCTCCCAGTGTCAGGATGCCTGCCGCAGTCCCGCTATAAGTCGCTAATCGCTGCCATTACTAGTATACAAAGAAATAAAAAAAAAATTCCAGTATCTATACCGCCATTTGTAAACACTATAACTTTCATGTAAATCAATTAATTTAGAATATTAGAATATTTTTTTTTTTTTTTTTTTTAGCTAAGACATGTCACAGAATACATTTTGGCCTAAATTTACGACGAAATATGATTTTTATAATTTTTTTTTACTTGACATGCTTTATAGCAAAAAGTAAAAAGTATAGTTTTTTTTTTTCTCAAAATTTACAGTGTTTTTTTTGTTTATAACTCAAAAAATTAAAACCGCACAGGCGATCAAATACCACCGAAAGAAAGCTCTATTTGTGGAAAAAGAAGACACAAATTTCATTTGGGTGCAGCGTTGCATAACCGTGCATTTGTCCGGTAAAGTAATGCAGAGCTGTTTGCAAAAAATGGTCTGCTTGGGGGGGGGGGGGGGGGGTAGATAAATCCTCTGAAAGGTAAGTGGTTAAGAGAGTAAGAGAGTTTAATTCCCCTTTTAGTCTCAATTCACACTGCTGTGACTTGGGATCCGTCTTGTGAGACCCCCCAAGTCGCATGACATGTGAATTCCCATGTTAGTCAATAGGAGCTGTCTTAATTGACACTACTGAAGTCGCTCCAACTTTAGAAAATGTTCCTGTACTACTTCACCCTCGGTTCACATCTGTGCGGGTGGTGCCGCTGCAGATCCACACGAAAATCCGTGCAGTCGCACCACCCGCACAGATAATTGCAGACTCGCGGGTGGGTGCCATTAGTTCTAATGGCACGCCGCCCACACTGGGAAACGCAACCGTACTGGGAACTGAGGTGCGGGCTGCGTTTTCCAAAGAAGTGCAGGGATTTCTTTCCCTGCGTGTTCTGGGCACGGGAGTCCATCCAAATGAATGGGCTCTTGTGCCTGTGCAAAACGCAGCCCGCACGGCCGCATAGGTGTGAACCGGGGGTCAAGGTGAGTTTTATCTGACTTGGAAGTCGCCTCCAAATGGGATCCTCCTCTATATTGATGTGATTTGGCTCTGACATTACGGGAAGATTACCCAGAAATTCCCCGAAAGCCACTTCAAAGTCGTAAAGTTGTGTATCTAGTTACTTTATGAAACCTCAAATTTTACATTATACCAGATAATGAAAATACGCATTTGATAACGCGTTGTGCTAACATAGCCGGACATAAAGATATCTGACTACCAGCAATTTCTTCTCCAGGGTCTCTGCTTTTAGGATACTATATACTAGATATACTGTTTGGGGTGTTTTAACTAATCTTCAGGCCTGGAATGTGCATTGTGATTGTGTGACGTGTGTGACGTGTGTGACGTGTGTGACGTGTGTAAAGTACACAAATACCACTCCGGCTAATGTCTGTGGGCAGAAGTAAATGAATTTGCAGGGAGCATGCGCTTTAGGTGAGCACTGTTCCAGCCTGTTTGTTTGATTTTCATCCTTGTATCATCTCTCCAAATTTTAGGTTCTGCCACCAGCTGGACTTCTCGACTAGCGGGGCTCTGTGCGTCGCCCTTAGCAAAGAAGCAGCCGGACGCGCTTACAAGTGTTTTAAAGAGCGCACAGTCACCAAGGCTTACCTGGCACTGGCAAGTACAAAATGTGACCTCTGTGCTAAGTTCAGGCAAAGTCTAAATCCATAGTTCAAATACATATGATTACTGTTATCTGCCATAGGATTTGTAATTCTGTTCAGCCAGTCTTGTCATTTACATACATCAGCCACCATGCACAGCCAAAGACAGCCAGGCTTGAGAAGGAGACCACCAAAATTCCTTTTTTATTTCCACAGCGGCTTTGTTAAAATGATTAAATTTTTTTAAATACTTGTACAGGCGTACCTCCGTTTACGAACGCCTCGGTTAACGTAATTTTCGGTTTACGAATGAAAATCCTTTGAAAATTATGCCTCGGTTTACGATTTTTTTTTCAATACGAATGGATTAATTGGTTTTCAGTGCATTTACAGATAGTTTTTTTAAATCATGTCCCTGTACAGTACTATGCCTTTAAAGTTCACTTTATAAAGAGTTTTTTGAACAGATAAGACTTTTTTTTCTTTTACTTTTTTCTGACCTCCGGAACGGATTAATTGGTTTTCAGTGCATCTACAGATAGTTTTTTTTAAATCATGTCCCTGTACAGTATTTATGCCTTTTAAAGTGCACTTTATAAAGAGTTTTGAACAGATAAAAAACGTTTTTTTTTTTGGTTTTTTTCTGACCTTTTCTGACCTCCCTGGTTTTCAATGCATTTACAAATTCATTTTTAATCATGTCCCTGTACAGTATTTATGCCTTTAAAGTGCACTTTATAAAGAGTTTTGAACAGATAAGACTTTTTTCTACTTTTTTCTCGCCTCCGGAATGGATTTATTGGTTTTTAATGTATTTACAAATTTTTTTTTTCTATCATGTCCCTGTGCAGTATTTATGCCTTTAAAGTGCACTTTATAAGAGTTTTGAACAGATAAGACTTTTTTTTTTACTTTTTTCTGACCTCTGGAACAGATTAATTGGTTCTCAATGATTAAAAATTAATTCGTAAATGCATGTCCCTGTACAGTATTTATGCCTTTTAAAGTGCACTTTACAAAGAGTTTTTTGAACAGATAAAACTTTTTTGACTTTTTTCTGACCTCCGTAACAGATTAATTGGTTTTCAATGCATTTACGAATTAATTTTTAATCATGTTCCTGTACAATATTTATGCCTTTAAAGTGCACTTTATAAAGAGTTTTTAAACAGATAAAATACTTTTTTTTTACTTTTTTCTGACCTCCGGAACAGATTAATTGGTTTTCAATGATTGAAAATTAATTCGTAAATGCATGTCCCTGTACAGTATTTATGCCTTTAAAGTGCACTTTACAAAGAGTTTTTTGAACAGATAAAACTTTTGTTGACTTTTTTCTGACCTCCGTAACGGATTAATTGGTTTTCAGTGCATTTATGAATTAATTTTTAATCATGTCCCTGTACAGTATTTATACCTTTAAAGTGCATTTTCTAAAGAGTTTTGAACAGATAAGACTTTTTTTTTACTTTTTTCTGACCTCCGGAACGGATAATTGGTTTTCAATGCATTCCTATGGGAAACCATGTTTTGGTTTACAAATTTTTTTGCAATATGAAAAGTCCCGCTGAACGACTTAAATTCGTAAATCGAGGTACGCCTGTAAGTGTAATTGGTCGAATGCAAAAAATCTGATCAACAAGCGCTAATATTGATTCTTCATATAGGCAATATGTACATGGCAGCAGCTATATTGCCTTATTACATTCCCTACCAGTGAGCGCAGTACACGTGGGCATTATGCCCACCTTCCTAGTGCCACACATATGCATAATGTGGCTGATAAGGAGTTATTGAAGGCTGCAAATGTACAAATATTGAAAATGTGTATTGAAAATAATAGTAGTAGTGCCAAAAAAAAAGACAAAAAGGCTCCAGTACACAGCTAGGTGTTCTGCCTTTGCGCTGTTCCCCTGAACTTCCTGGTTGTGGTGGCAGGTAAGCGATTGGCTCCTGCGGCTGTCTGTTCTAGAGCTGCAAGGAGAAAGCAGTGGCATGGCTTGTGGGGCGCTGTGTGTCTCAGTGGATGCACATTGCCAAAACCAGGAGCACATATGCAGGGGTGCCTCCTTTACTGCTGGGTAGGCAAATGAGACACCCACCAACAAAAGGGCGGTACAGTGGTTCAGGGACAAGACAGGCATACAGGAAAGATGGCATTTCAAGGAAGCAGACTGTACATTACACTGTGTGCACAATTTGTAAGCAAGTTGTATTTTTGAGGATTGATTTCATTATTCCCTCTTAGATTGTAAGCTCTAAGGATCTTGTATTGAACTGTACAGTTGCAAGAAAACGTATGTGAACCCCTTGGGATTACGTGGAGTTTTGCATGAATTGGGCATAAAATGTGCTCTGAACGTCATCTAAGTCACAACAATAGAAGAACACAGTCTGCTGAACATAATACTACACAAACATTAGATGTTGCCATGGTTTAATTGCACATAACATGTAAACATTCACAGTGCAGGGAGGAAAAAGTATGTGAACCTTTGGACTTAATAACTGGTTGACCCTCCTCTGGCAGCAATAACCTCAACCAAACATTTCTTGTAGTTGCAGATCAGACCTGCACAACGATCTGGAGTAATTTTGGACCACTCCTCTTCACAAAACTGTTTCAGTGTAGCAATATTCTTGGGATGTCTGGTGTGAATCGCTCTCTTAAGGTCATGCCACAGCATTTCAATCGGGTTGAGGTCAGGACTCTAACTGGGCCACTCCAGAAGGCGTATTCTGTGCTGTTGCAGCCATTGTTTTGTTGTATTACTTGTATGCTTTGGTCATTGGGTCAAAGTGAGGTTTGGGCTTTCTTAGGAGAATATCTATATGTGCAGAATTATTGGGCAACTATTAGTGTACAGAATTATTATGCAATTAAATGAAAAACGAACATTTTCCCATATCACTTGTTTATTTTCTTCTGTTAAAGTGAGAATAAAAAAACAAAACAACTCAAAATTGAAAAATAAAAATTTCTGACATTCCAAAAAAAAACAAAATCAGTGATCAATATAGCCACCCTTCTTTTCCATAACAGTCATAAGCCTTCCATTCATGTATCAGTTTCTTGATCTGTTAACAATCAGTTTTATGTGCAGCAGCAACCACAGCCTCCCAGACGCTGTTCGGAGAGGTGGACTGTTTTCCTTCACCTTACATCTTCCTTTTAAGAAGGGTCCACAAGTTCTCAATAGGGTTTAGGTCAGGTGAGGAAGGGGGCCATGTCATTATTCTTGCATCTTTAAGGCCTTTACTGGCTAGCCATGCAGTGGAGTACTTTGATGCATACGATGGAGCATTGTCCTGCATAAATATCATGGTCTTGAAAGATGCAGATTTTCCCTGTACCACTGCATGAAAAAAGTGTTTTCTAAAAGCTGGCAGTAGGTTTGGGAGTTGATTTTGAATCTTCAACCCGAAATGATCCGACTAGCTCATCTTTAATATTACCACCCCATACCAGAACCCCACCTCCACCTTGCTTGCGTCTGAGTCGAAGTGGAGCTCTGTGCCCGTTACTGATCCAGCCACAGGCCCATCCAGCTGGTCCGTGAAGAGTCACTCTCATCTCATCAGTCCATAAATCCTTTTAAAAATCTGTCTTCAGATACTTCTTGGCCCAGACTTAACGTTTTAACTTATATGTCTTGTTCAGTGCTGGTCGGGTTTCAGCCCTCCTTACCAAGGCCATGTCTCTGAGCAATGAACACCTTGTACTTCTGGGCCCTCCACGTAGGGTGCAGTTCTGGAATATGACAGCACTGGGGGATAATGGCTTCCTGGGAGCTTCATGATTGATTCTTCTCAAATCTTTGGCAGTTAATTTGCGTCTTTACTTCTCAACAAGTTTCCTGCGACCCCGTTGACTATTTGCAAAAAAACTTTGATGGCTGTGTCCCAATATCTTAGCAATTTCAAGAGTGCTGCATCCCTCTGAAAGACTTTTTACAATTTTTGAGTTTTCAGAGTCAGTTAAAGCTCCCTTTTGACCCATTTTGACTGAGGAAAAGAAGCTGCCTAATAATTATGCACACCTTGATATCGGGTGTTGATCTCCTTCGGCCACACCCTCCCTCATTACACACATACACATCACCTGATTTGCCTAAATCCAACAAGCATTCAAGTTTGCTAAATGGGCAGCACAGTGGCTAAATGGTTAGCACTTCCGCCTGGTAGCACTAGGGTAGTTGGTTCGAATCCCAACCACAGCACCTCCTGCCTGGGGTTTGCATGTTCTCACTGTGTCTGCGTGTTTCCTCCGGGTACTCCGGTCTCCTTCCACACTCCAAAGACATGCTGGTAGGTTAATTGGCTCCTGTCTAAATTGGCCCTAGGATGTGTATGTATGAATGTGAGTTAGGGATCTTAGATTGTACACCCCTTGAGGGTTAGGGACTGATGTGAATGTACAATATATATGTAAAGTGCTGCGTAAATTGACAGCGCTATATAAGTACCTGAAATAAATAAATAAAATATGGAGTTGGACAAAATGCATAAAAATGATGATTTGGTCATAATACTCACTTTCCTAATAATTGTGCACAGTGTATAATAAAGGACTATCATGAAAAACAAATTGGGTTTAGTGTTACTTGAATATATTAAGGTGTATATGAGGTTTTATTCATTGGGTGTTCTTAAATTGGTTGTATTCACTTATATCTTGTTGAAGCTTTCTGTGCTGAGACTTGTGACTTCCCCACACAGGTCAGGGGCAGAGTTACACAAAGCTGCATGACCATCACACTGGCCATTGGTAAGAACACACAGGAGGGACTCACACACATGATGTGTGTGCAAGGGACTGAAGGTGAGGTTTCATTTTATTTAAAGTACTATTAAACCCAATAGCAAACATTTTTATATTGCCGCTTACCAATTCTTACAGTTGTGCTCAAAAGTTTGCATACCCGGGAAGAAATTGTGAAATTTTGGCATTGATATTGAAAATATGACTGGTCATGCCAAAAAATGCTCTTTTATTGAAGGATGATGATCATATGAAGCCATTTATTATCAAATAGTTGTTTGGCTCCTTTTTAAATCATAATGATAACAGAAATCACCCCAAATGGCCTGGATCACACGTTTCCCTCCCCTGGAATGTTTGGCCTTGGTACAGACACACAAGGTGACACACACGGGTTACAATGCCAATTAGAGGTTAATGTCCCACATCTGTGGCTTTTTAAATTGCAATTAGTGTCAGTGTATAAATAGTCAATGAGTTTGTTGGCTCTTACGTGGAAGCACTGACTAGGCTAGATACTGAGCCATGGGGATCCCATAGGTAACCACAAGACAAACACAGGCTGCTCTGGAAAAAGACAGTGTGGTTGTTTTGAAGGAGCACAATATGATGACACTGGAACAAAAATGAGCTGCATGGTGGAGGTGCCAGAAGAAGCCTTTACTGCATCAATGACACAAGAAGGCCCGGTTAGGCATGTCAAGGTGTTGTCAGGTATATTGTAACTGGGCTTTTTTGTGGCATTGGTGCAGTAAAAGCTTCTTTCTGGCACCTCGACCAAACAGCTCATTTTTGTTCAAGTATCACCGTATTGTACTCCTTAAAAACAACCACACCATCTTTTTCCAGAGCAGCCTGTTTTTATTTTTAGGTTGCCTGTGGTATTTTGTTTGAATCCCGGACAATTCTTCTGTCCGTTATGGCTGCAATCTTTCTTTGTCTACCTGACCTTGGCTTGGTATCAAGAGATCCCCGAACTTTCCACTTCTTAATAGGTGATTTAACAGTACTGATTGGCATATTCAAGGCTTTGGACATCTTTTTATGTCCTTTTCCATCTTTATAAAGTTCCATTACCTTGTTACGCAGGACTTTTGACAGTTCTTTTCTGATCCCCATGGCTCAGTATCTAGCCTAGTCAGTGCTTCCATGTAAGAGCCAACAAACTCATTGACTATTTATACACTGACACTAATTGCAATTTAAAAAGCCACAGATGTGGGACATTAACCTCTAATTGGCATTGTAACCCGTGTGTGTCACCTTGTGTGTTTGTACCAAGGCCGAACATTCCAGGGGATGGAAACTTCTGATCGAGGCCATTTGGGTGATTTCTGTTATCATTATGATTTAAAAAGGAGCCAAACAACTATTTGATAATAAATGGCTTCATATGATCATCATCCTTCAATAAAAGAGCATTTGTTTGTCATGATCAGTCATATTTTCAATATCAATGCCAAAATTTCACAATTTCTGCCAGGGTGTGCAAACTTTTGAGCACAACTGTAGATGTGATGGCTGCATTTGTTTTCTTTTTTAGGCTTTCTTGTAAATGTATCAGTTTACAGGGATGAGACAAACCATTTACAACTGACAGGGATGCTTACAATGATCAGCATTTATTTATTCATGTAAAACCTAAAAGGAAAAAAAAAACAGTTTGCTGTAACTGCTTATAAAGTATTAACTGGAGTTTGGCTTCATTTTGTGAGTGTATCTAAATCTGAAAGTACATCCAATGCTCCCCCTCCTCCCAGACTGATAATGCTGCTGTCCAAATGTGCCCCCTGTGCTCTTTCTACCAGTGTGGAGGCACTCTAATACAGGAGGTGTGTTACTGGCCAGATCAACAGGTGAAAACAGAGGAGAAATGAAGCCTAAAAAAGCAAATGAATGCAGTCAGCACATCCAGTCATTGGTAATCTGCAATATATTACATTTTTGGTTTTTGGTTTAATGCCGCTTTTAATTTTTTTTTTATTTTAATAATTGTAGATTTATCAGTTTTCTCTTTACACCACACTAACATTTGCATCGCAAACCCCCTCTTTCTTTCTTTCTTTCTACAGGGTGTGAAAATGAAAAACCTTGTCAGACTTATCTGACAGTTCTTCAGCATGGATTATACAAAGGAGATTCCGTCACCAAAGTGTTGTTACAGCCATTAACTGGTATGCATGGTTGAGCAATTGTGCTCGGGGTCTGTCAGTTTAGCCGTAGTGGAAAAAATCATTGTGAACTTTTTTTTAATCAAAGTTTTCAGGCTGCTATTGTCCTATTCTGACCAAAAAACCAGAAACTTCCTTTCTCAGTTTATAATGAACCAGTTAGGCCCCATTCACACCTGAGTGTTTTGTAGCTCACAGCTCCAAAACACTCAATATCCAAAATCCCATGTATTTCAATGGTGACTGTTCACATTTGAGTGCTCGGGCCTGTAGGTGAATGCTTGATGCCACATGAGCTACTTTTGAGGCAGATATGGGTGTTTTTTGACCCATAGACTTCAATGGGAACAGCTGAATTGCTTGTATTTCATGTGGTTTTTGTAGCCTGTAAGAACCGATCTCTTCCCTTTTAGTGCTTTTCATTGGCTAAAGCAAAAATGCCTAAAGCCTGCAAACATGTAAACTTCTTGAACTACACTTCTAAAATGCTTGTATATGTGTGCAAAAGCACTTAAAGCGGAGCTATATAGAATATATATAGAATATGGCCAAAATTGTAGTTTTTCAAATATATGGTAATATATTTGGGAAGAATATTTTTCAAATATATTTTTCTTTTATGTGGGTATAACCCCCCCCTTTTTTTTTTTATCGTGCCGCTTTTTGCTGTTATATTAAATGCAAAATGTCTTTATTTTTCTATCTTGATAGGCCGGACGCACCAGCTTAGAGTCCACTGCAGTGCCCTGGGCTATCCCATTGTGGGAGACTTTACCTATAGCTTTAAGAAGGACACTGACCCATACAGGATGATGCTGCATGCCTACTACCTACATATCCCCACCGACCACGAGCTCATCGAAGTCACAGCTCCTGACCCCTTTCAACCAGAAAGCGACCCCAACTGGACACCGACAGAAACTGTCCAGAGCCTGAGTGAAGCCATGGGTAACCTTATCAATAAGGCCTTGTCTATGGAGAGTCCTGAAATGGAAGGCAAGCCACTGAAGCCAATGGAGAAAAAGAGGGAGACAGAGGAGGAGAGAGCTGTGTGCCAACAGTGGCTGGCGGAGTGGCCTGGGGAATAATCTGCTATAATCAAGTTGTATTTTAGTATTGTAGCAGATGCCACAAGGTACGAAATGGCGCAGAGCACACCGGCCTTCATCTTCCGTTTTATAGTTCCGGAAATGAGGCCATAACATCTTAGCAATAGTTTATCCACATCCGGTTCAGCCAATCACAGCTGTAGGACCACTATGCACTGCTCGATAGCATCTTCCGTGTCACAGATGCTCACCAGCAATACTCCATTTACTGCTGCTAGAGTGTTTTAATGCTTTTTACCAAGCCCTGTAGGTGGCTGCCCCTGGCATAGCAGAGAAGGACATCTCAGCCAGGGGTCATTTATTTTAAACACCCTTTTAAATTTGTTGTTGGGACTGGGGCTGCTTTTGTGGTGTAAATTTTAAAATATATCTGCTCCACCTATCCACAGGGGTAAGATACGTCTTATGGACATTGATGGGGGTGCTTTAGTGGAGAGTATGGCATTCCAGTGACAGCGGTGGTTTCCAGTGAATTCATAGGCTGCCTCTGCAGCGATTTCATTCATTTTCAGTGAATCCCTAGGCTGCTTTTTTAGTGATGTCATTGGTTCCCAGTGAATTCATAGGTTTCTGCTGCAGTGATGTCACTCATTTTCACTGAATACATAGGCTGCTTCTGCAGTGACGGCAGCCAGTAAATTCAATGGTATCCCTCTCAGTCATTTTGCTGGTCACCAATGGATTCATAGGCTGCCCTGTCAGTGATGTCACTGGTTTACAGTAAATATATAGGTTGCCTCTAGATCTTCAATTATGTCACTGGATTGCTATTTAATTCATAGGCTGCCTCTGCAGTGTTTTCATTCATTTTCAATGAATTCCTAGGCTACCTTCTTAGTGATGTCATTTGTTTCCAGTGGCTTCATAGGCTGTCTCTGCAGTGATGTCACTGGTTTTCAATTAATTCTTAGGCTCCCTTCTTAGTGATGTCATTTTTCTCTGGTGAATTCATAGGCTGCCTCCGCAGTGATGTCACTGGTTTTCAATGAATCCTTAGGCTCCCTTCTTAGTGATGTCATTTGTTTCCAGTGACTTCATAGGCTGTCTCTGCAGTGATGTCACTGGTTTTCAATGAATTCCTAGGCTGCCTTTTTGGTGATGTCATTTGTTTCCAGTGAATTCATAGGCTGTCTCTGCAGTGATGTCACTGGTTTTCATTGAATTCCTAGGCTGCCTTTTTGGTGATATCATTTGTTTCCAGTGAATTCATAGGCGGTCTCTGCAGTGATGTCACTGGTTTTCAGTGAATTCTTAGGCTGCCTTTGCAGTGATGTAACTCACTTTGAATGATCATAGGTTACCATCTTAGTGATGTTACTGGTTTCCTGCAAATTTATAGGCTGCCTCTGCTGTGATGTCACTGGTTTTCAGCGAATTTTTAGGCTGCCTTTGCAGTGATGTAACTCATTTTCAATGAGTTCTTAGGTTACCATCTTAATGATGTCACTGGTTTCCAGTAAATTTATAGGCTACGTCTGAAGTGATGTCACTAGTTTTCAATAAATTCATAGGCTGCCTTTGCAGTGATGTAACTCATTTTCAGTGATTATAGGTTACCATCTTAGTGATGTCATTGGTTTCCAGCAAATCCATAGGCTGCGTCTGCTGTGACGTCACTGGTTTTCAGTGAATTTATATTCTGCCTCTGCAGTGATGTCATAGGTTTCCAGTAGATTCATAGGCCTCTCAGTGATGTCACTACTTCCTGGCGAATTGATAGGTTGTGTTCCTGTGAGGTCACTACCCACTAGTTCGATAGGCTGTTGTTTTTTTTATGACAATTGATGCAGCATTGCAAATCGTCTGTCTTCTTTGTGTGCACATAAGAGGATAATTACAGCCATATTTAATAATAGCCTGCCTTCTTGACAAGGTCGTTTTACAGTGATCATTACATGTCTGTTCACCAGCTAGCTATATACAGTGAAGCTGTAGAGCTGAACTTTTTAAACTTTTTTTTTTTCCCTAATGTATGAATTTTTATGCTGCTCAGACTCCATCATGGCCCCATTTTGTTGGAGGGTACTGGAGTCAAAACTTGTTGGAACAGTGATTTGGAACATCGGCCTCTTTAGCTAGGTCTGTGGGTTAGCCAGACTCTGAATCACAGTTATATTTGCCTCAATTATCAGTGACAAGGAATATAGTCCTGTATTGGTGCTCGTTGTTTCTCTAGTGCAAATGATAGAAATGCGCACTAACCAGAAGCGTATAGGTAATATGCAGATATATAATTATCCTGCAGATTCCCCTCTCTTTCTGGTCAGAATGTAGATTAGGAACTGGAAAATGTAAGGATGAAGCGCCCTCGTGTGGTGAAGATGAGATCCAGCAGGCCAGAAGTGTCCTTGCAGAGATGAATGAAACGTTCCCCCTCTCTGGAACTGGTATAAGGATCACACTGGGGCTGTAAAGGTTGAAAGACTCCTCACAGGAGACACAGGGAGAAACTCATAGTGTAGTATGTGAATCAAAGCTT